ATGCAGGAGAGGACAGACCACGTTTGTCAGGAGGTTTCGGGTAGCTGCACAAAGCCAAAAAAGGAGCAACTGTGAGAGAGGGAATGGGAAATGACAGTGGGAAAGACAATGAAAGTGATAAGAAAATAAAAGAATTAGAAATACCAGAATGGGAAATGACAGCTTGGTGTTGTCACTTCTGTTATCCCTACTGCCAGTTCCTTGCATGGTTGGCACTGTTTGACATTGTCTTGGCTAAGTACTGTGGCACAGCCCCATCACAGCACAGTGGGAACCAATGCCTTCTCTTGGAGGGTGTATTTGTTTTGGTTATGGTGAGTTTTCTTTAAGCAGCCCCAGCATTTGTTTCAATCACAACAAAACCCATCGACTCACCTTAATTTACAGAGTCATAACTAGCAGTATTTCTTTTCAGCATAAAGAGTGCATTGGAACAAATGCTGCTATTTATCAACTGTAATGCAGTTCTTTATAAAGGTCTTATGTGAGCAAAGAATAAAAATGCAATGATAGTCTCACAATAAATACTCTAAATCCTTTATTGCCTATTTATGGTGTAATCTCTCCACAGTTTTACAATATATGACTGTTTAGAAAAAGCTCTAGAATACAGTTATATGGTTTATTTACCAGGAGATGGCAATGGTGATCTACTGCAGTATTAACTTATATACAAGGCCCACATAATTCTTCCATAACATCACAAACTTCAGTATGAATGAAACCAAAGTATTCCAATACTGGTTTTGCCTTCCTTATTTCTAGCTTGTTTCAGTTGCTGCTATTCATTGTAAAGAAAGTATTTTTTTCCTCTCATTTTTTGATTGAAATTACTGTCACCACATTTTTTAAAGATGTCTAAATAGAATCATATTGGTATTCCAGAAAACAGAATACTATTTAAAAACAGAGCAACCAATACCATTGAATAAGATATGCCATGTGTCAGGACAAAAAAAAAGATTGATGAAGGCAAAAGCTTAAAAAATGCATTTAATTTTACAGTATCAAAATTGAACTTGAGTAGTTAATGAAAAATAAATTATAGGTTATGCTATTAAAAAGCATGTTATAATTTTCTAGTAAGCTGCTTGAAGTATGGTCTTAAAATATGTAGATGGCAATCATTTTACAGAACTTGAAATTAACTGTGGTCTGCAATGCTGTCTGAGTTTTTGTGTTACTTTAACCTACAGTAAGGCAGACACTGTTCTCACATGAATTAGTGTGACGATTTCATATGTAGAAGATCACTGCCATAAACACTATAAGTAAAAGTTTGGCTTCTTATGGGATTGCTTTGTGTTACTTTATATCTTTCTCCACGTGTTTGCTCATTTTTTACTCTTCTACCCAGAACTTGCACAAACTGACCAGGAGGTTTGTGCGTGTTTATTAGATATTTGGCAGTTTTCAAACTGAAGCAGTAACTGGTGAGACTTACTCCTCTCCCCTCCCCAGCTACATCCCTGCCTGTATGGAGTGATCCAGGGACACTGCTGGCTTGCTAAATGTGCTCTGAAGCAGATCTAGACCCACGTACAGTAGTGAGCATCATTTACCAGGGAAATGCTCCCATGGTTGGCTTTTCCTCCAGTATTCTGAGATACACAGTCCATGTCTCACAATAGTCACTATGTGGTTCTCAGTTGAGAGGGTTATCTACCCTCAAGTTAAATAAATGCTTTTACTGCATCTGCTCTTTACAACGTCAAATGCCAGCATTATTGTCTTTCCACTGCTTCTATTTTAGTGTTAATAAAATAGCAAGCGAGGATCTTGGTGAGGCTGTGAGAGGAGCATGGAATAAGTCATAACCACAGATGATAACAGGAGAAAAGCATTGTTTTACTTGTGTGAAGGTCTCAATTTTCTATTCTTTCAATTGTTCTTAGTTTCCTAAAGTTCTTCTTCACCGTAGTGTCTACCTTCCTACCACTACAACATCTTTCCTTCCTCTGCTTTGCATTAAATGGTACTCAGTCAAACCTCACCTCTACAAGGAAGAAAAAGCAAATTTAAAGCATACAGAGAGTATTTCACTTAATTCTGCTCTCTCCACACCTTCATATCAGACAGCTTCTGTGTTGGGATCTGCCTGCTCAGCACTCATGATACACTTTCTAGGGGAACAGCTAGCTCCACCTCATCAGTAACAGGAGAGACACCTATGTACACGACAGCAATCACACATTTCACATCTGCAATATCTTTCCACTTATAGACCCTACAGGGTACAACAGGAAGACAGAGGTAAGAAAGACCTTTGTCAGCCTTTTTTCCAATAGGAAAATCGATCCCTGGAGCAAAATGAACTCACTAAGTGTCAGAAAAAGCAGCAGAAGTAATATCGAGTAGGGTTTAGAATCTGTTGGCTGCTGGTACCTTGCTGTATCAGGCAAACAAACTATCTTTCCTTCTCACATTTTCTTACCTCTTTACATTTCTGTACAAAACAGCACAAACTTAATCAATACACCCGGTGCTGCTGCCTCCCCTGAGCACCAGGGCAGCCACATGTTCCACCTTATGGCGAGGTTCTCCAGCAGCTCCGACGTCTAACAAGGCTGTGAATCAGTCTGGTGGCATTCATGTCTCTTCAAAGGACAATTTTTCAGAAAGGGCAAAATGATGTTCAGTCTGACAATTGCTCACACAAAATATCTTGTCTTCTCTGCTGGATCTCTTGCTGTGAGTACTGTGTTCATGTCAGCAATGTGGAGGGAGGAATTCTGAGTTTTCCTTTTTCTATGAGTTATTTAGCACCCACTCCCATCTCCCTTGTCTTCCGAACTTAGGTCGTGCTTACGCTCCAGTACAGAGTAGAGATAGGAATGTCAGCTTGAAATGAATTAGCTCAGCCATCCCTTTACTTTGTTGAAATCTGTCCTGTAAACAAACCAGACTGCAGGCTCTTGAGAGTGGGACTGTTTACAGCCTTGTTTTACATTGTTTAGTACAACAGGGCCAAAGCAGAGAGGCTTGGGGTGCCACCGTAGCACAAATAATTTTCACAGTAACCCAGAGGGAGAAGTAAGGCCAGGCTCAAAGGTGAGCGGTTCAAGTCAAGAGAAGTTTAAATTTCTGAATTTTAAAGTTGTAAAAAAGATTCAAAGGGAAGTAAAGGGCATACTCAGCCCGCTTTTTGATAGTACAATACATAAACCCCAGATTTTGTAGGAGTATAATAAAAGATTGTATAGGAGTATAATAAAACCCAGACACAAGTCTGAAAAATTCATTAGTTTCTGCCACGACTAAAATAACCACTGTCTAGGAAAACTACTTTGCAATGGTAATGAAAAGCGAGTGGAAAAGCAAGCGTTGGCACCAGTGCTGCAATGTGAAATAATTTCTGTATACTCAGATCTGTCATTGTGAACAATGTTGTTGATTATAAACCACATCAAATTCCCAGTCCCCCAAGACATATATTTTATTTTGCAGTTTTTCTAGTAATTATGAAATCAACAGAATACTATCAAGTTTTACCACAATTAAGTTAAATATATACTTAAATGATATAACATACTTGGTAATTGCAATATCTCTCTAACTTCTCTCCAAGGAACAGCCAGCAATGTTTCTTAAGCATTTTCAGGGGTGGCTTCTAATGATAATGATGATGCTGAGCTCTCTCATAATTTTATAGTTTCAAAGCTACTTGAATCCAATTTAGAATCAAGATTTGACCCGCAGAACTTCATTTCTTGTGAGTTGATAAGACAAGTCTCCTAGATCTGAATGGATTTTACGGCCTCTTCAGTGTACGTGGGTTTGATGGAAGAGCCAATGACACAGACCTACAGCAGTGTGAGCAGTTGTCTGAGAACAGGTCTGTATCCAGTCACTTGTGAGACACTGTTCACCTGTAGAGCTATTACCATGCCATCCTGCTGAAGGCCTTTGGGCTCAAGGCACTGAAAATGCTTGTCTTAGGTCTCCATTAAGAGAACAACCATGTGGTGCAGTGCTTCCAGCAATTGCCCCTTGTTCAGGGTAGGAGGCCTGCCAGGGTGTTGCAATGGTGATGGGCCTGTGAGGTAGGAGGATTGTGGTGGTATTTTTCTCAAAAACTGGAAATCTCTCTACTTTGGCAGTTTTGTCTTTCTGCAGCTGATTGTCACTGCCATTCTGGCCATCAGAACTGAGCGTGTACTCCAAATTTATGTTTACAGATACTGACATTCAGTTTTTAAGGAAAGACAAGGCAAGCTCATTTGTACTTGTACCATTAGCTTAATATGTATTTACACATATTTTCTCATTCCATCTTACCTTGCTCTTCATATGATACCGTTTGCCTGAGAGGTAGTTTTCTGTCTAATTGAATAATAACATTTTAATAATTTGCTTCAATAACTGACTTTTTTTTTTCAGGTCACTGAAAACAAAGGCCAGGCAGATCACAGATCACATCTATTTCAAATACTGCTTGCCTAACTATATTTAGAAATTGTGATTGCATAAAGAAACTATTATGACTGTATATTAAATAGTTATTCTTTACTGAAATTGATATAATTGACAAGTAAATGAGTTTATATAAAAGAATGTAGAGTTTTTAAAGTTTCTAGTTTTATGAATATAATGAGCCACATTTTATTTAATGTTAAGTAATATACAAGTTGATGTATTTTGGGATGCACAATAACATGTTCAAATTCAATCTAGAATATGAAATCTTCACCAGGATTTTAAAAGCAGCTCTCACAGGCCCAAAATGATTGGAAAAAAAACCTGCAGAAAAAATGCGTTTCCTCTAAATCTTTTAAACAGTAAAGAGAAGCAAAAGCATTCAATCTTTCCGCCTTTTTTTCAAATTCAGCCTGAAAACACAACATCCTCCTATCTATCTCCCAGGATACAGAGAGTATATTTGCCTCTTGCCTTTTTCCTGCTAAAATCAGCCAATGCTGGTATGTGGTGGATGTAATCACCGGGGTATATGGTATGGTGAATGTAGCACTAAGAAACCTTTTGTTTTTTCTTTTCTTTAGAAAACAGTGAGATCTCTGTTCTCAAGATTTTCTTCATAAAACTTGATTGGATGACTACGTTAAAGAAACAAGAATGAAGAGGAGAAAAGGTAATTACAAGGAAAAGTGACTTGCCAGCCATATGCAGTCCATCACAGTGAATGTGTGTTTTTCATTACCTACATGGGATAAAGATTTCTCAGCTCAACTGCATGAAAGGGATTGTTTTATGTCTGTTGAAAGATATCTATTTCCATTGGACTTTCTGATTAGCCTGTTATGTTCCCTGGGTGGCTAATTCCTGATGCTTTTCTATATCTAGAGCTCATCAGTCATACCCTGTGCCTGTCCCAGCGCCTCTCCCTTGATCAGGGATAGACAGCCCATTTTTTGCCAATTACTGGCATGCACAATCAAAGCTGAGGCTCAGGTTTTTTGTGTCTTCGCTGCTACAAAACTTCAGGGCAAACACAGCCTAGGTTTTAAACCAGCTCAAGCAACACTGAATTCAACATCAGTTAACCTCCTTGTTTTTTTCAGCTTTCTGAATGAATTTTGCAGCTTGAACTTGTGTTCTCCATGCTTCTGAAGACAGACTGCTGCCATTGCCCAGTGTGTCTGTTCCTGCGTAGTGTTTGGCTACATCTCTATTGCACTACAGGCACATGTTACTGTACAGGGACAGGCTAAGAAATTGCACACTGAGAGTAAAAATACCCATCATTGTGACTAACAACCTTTCTGAAGGCTTAATGATCAAATTTGGTGACTGCCTTACATAGACCTGTCTAAAACTATTTTTGTGCTATACTTTCAAAAAATCCCCACCCAGATCCAGTTCTTTTTCCTGTCTGTTTATGTCGCTTTTCATTGTCATGAAATGAGAGCAGAATTCCAGGTCCTATTTCACACACCTTAACAGACTTGACATGTTGCATCTGTAGTAGAAATGATTTAATTAGTCAGAGCCTAGGACTTTGAAATCTTTTTCCGTTGAACATAACTAAAGATTAAATAATTCTGCTAGTGCAACAAAATGTGTACAGACTACTATAAGCCCTGATTTCTTTGCCAGGATGTGTGCAGACAGAAGACTGTGCTTTGCTTTGTATGGACAACCCAATCAATGTGAGCTGGGACTGCCCTAGGCAAACCACGAGTTTGTGCTGTGCTGTTCCTCACAGGAATGTTTCTCTCATGATCCAAATTGTCTTTACTCTTTTATCCAGTATTTTACAATAGAAATTACTCTGAGTAAGTAGGAAGTAAACAGTGAGCCTTTTCCTTCACTATGCTGCACAGTATACAGGTACCAGTATATCTGCAAAGTTAAATGATATCATCATGATAAACAGAAAATGTTTTACATTTTACAGGCATAGAGACAAGTAGCTGAGAATTTCTGGTTAATTTATTTTCTTCTTCCTTGGAAACAGTAAGCTAGCTAGAGAGTCCTCAGAAACACTGAAATGCTCAATCAGAGGTGGTTTCTCCCTGTTACCTTCTGTATTAAGATATTGATTTGGGCTTCAAGAGCCTCCACACCAGTTTCTGCTCTGCCTTCCTCAGAGCAGGATCTTTCAATCCAAAGAGTCACCCTTTGGTCAAAGCAGAGACTAGGCTTGTCATAGCCAACCCAGTAGTCTCGATTGCTCCATATATATAGTTCCTATCTTCCTCACAAAAGTATTTTAGGAACAGAAAAATAAGAGAAAATTTTGAGGAGAGAGAATCTCGGTGAGAGCAGTCCAGCTACTTCAGTTTTACTGACAGCTTAAAAAAGTGCAGCTGTCAACATGTGGGGTAAGTCAGTGAAAAGTCAACCCATATGTGCTGTTAAGCCAACTGGGAGAAGTCAAGTGTAGGTCTTGAAAAACAAAAAGCACAAGATGGGTCCAATACATTTGCATTTAACTTGGCCATGTAACTGTAAAACAAAGGGAATTCCTAAAGGAAACATTTTTTTGTCACATAAACGCTGAGCCGCTGAGAACAAATCTGGCAAGGCTGAGGATCCAGCTCCCCAGGCTGAACGTCGGAATACCATGAATAATGTCAGGAGGCAGCAATGGGGCTGTCAGATACTGCTACTGTCATTACCCTATTACTGCAAATATCCATGAATTTCACTAGGCTGTGGAAACTGTCAATGGATATTTTAATCTGTAAGCACAGAAGACACAACTATTTTACCATATAATCATCGAAGCTAATCTTTGACAAGGTTACTACTTACACCTCTTCCCTTGCAATCCCCCGCATGCACATACAGAATAAGGCTCTGAAGCCTAATCTTTCCAATGCTGAAAATGAGACTTTTATGCAAACTGATAAAAGTTCTTTGTTTGATTTATCTGTAAACCAAAATAGTCTGGTAGTTTGCCTTGAAGTTAAAAGGAAAAAACATACTCTGTCAAATCCTGTGTATTCCTTTTTATGTATTTTGTCATTTCCCCTCTATTAACTCTGTCCTAAGGTTGAAAAGAAGAGTGCACTCTAGCTTCCATTTACATACTGTACTTTAGCTTTGACTTTTTTGGTTGCAGCCTGTTAAATTTATTGACTATAAGCCCCTTGAGCTATTGAAGAGTATGCGGCTTACATTGTATATCTTTTGAAAGATGCTACTGGTAGCCTGTTTTAATGTGTTTGCTCTCTCCAGATACAATTTTTCTTACATATTCATTGGTTTTTAGTGCCAGGACCAGTTTCTTCGTTGTAGCTATTGTTTGGAAGTCTCACAGAGATATTAAGGCTTAGTAATTTTTCAGTGCTACTCAAGGGATCTGAGTGTCAAATGAAATAATAAGTGGGAAAATCCCTAAGCAGCTGGCTTTGGAGAGCTCAATAAAAAAAAAAAAAAGGAAAATAATTTGAGATGGCATGAAAGACACTTTGGGACATCTAGGATATTTTATATGTACAAATAGAGCTGGCCAAACAGTAGTATTTTCCATTCATTGGCAGTTATATTTCATTTTAATTTGAAGATTTCATACAGCCTGAAAGTCAGGGAAAATTTCATTTGTGAAACGCTAGCACATGGAGCTGGGAACACAGAATATGTTCCCCTGCATACTGCAGCTGCTTTTTCTAGTGGTGGAGCTGACCAGAATACTGATTTTATTAGGCCAGGGTTCTGGGTGGAACTTTTCTCTTTTTTTCTCTTTTCAGATTGAAGTTGCGGCTTTCCTGTGTTCAGTTTCACAGGAGACAATCTGAAAGCCTCAAGAGAGATGGTTGGTTATGGATCCCAAGGCTCTCAGACCTCTCCCATAAGGCTGGTACAGAGTGTGGGAATGTGACACTGTGTATTCACTGGCTCTCACTAACAGGAATCTCAGTCTTTCCCCAGCCCTTATGTAGAGGTGCACTTTGGAATATCTTTTGTTCCTCAGTACAGGTATTTGCATGTTGGCCATTCATGCTAAGTTGGAATCTAACCAGGTGGGGCACCCACAACAGCATAGATTTAAAAGTACAAAGTACAGACAACTGTGGATTGGGATTTTCAGATTTATGCTACCCTACCCTGCCTAGTCAGCTTAAAAGTTACCTGGAATATACTTCCATCAGTAGCCAACATGCCAAAATCTGTTGTGCATCTGTGACTGGGTCTTTCATTCAGATTGTTGCATCATTGCATCCTGTTCCAGGTGCAATCACTTAATATTCAATACTGAGGCAGAAATCTGCTGTGGCATATTTTTATTTCTAGAAAATTCATTCCAAAAGTCAAACTCCTTTCTCTCTGGGAAAGCCATGAGAGCAGTCCTGAAACTCCAGGCATTGATCTGTGCCCTCAGCGAGGTACGGGTGAGGTCTGTGCACTGCAGCCCACCCTCTGTGCTCTTACCAGCTTGGTGCCTGGCTTCCAGATATTCCACCCATGTTTGTACCTTCAAAATCTATTTTTGTGAGGAACATCTATGTTCCCAACAAGTACAGAAAAAGGAAGATATTTCAGTCAATGTTTCACATGGCAAACACCTGTTGTATTTTTGCTTTTGGTGAAAAAAAGGTGGGGAGGTCATGGCATCTCCAGCCCCACTTGCTGGTTTAGACCCTCTGTGGCCACATCAGCATGGAGGTGATCTCTTCTTCCACAGGAACCAGGATAGCCTAAAATATTTCCATGCCATTGTCTCATAGCACCTAAAAGATTTCACAGGGACATTGCAACTCTTAATGAATAAATGTGGATTAATTCACATTTACTCTATAGCGAGAGTATTTGTTATGGAAAAGGAGTATATTTTGGCTTAGAGTGTATACGTCAAATAAATACAATTGTCTATTTCTGAATCTTTATGATGCCCATCATCATAATTAGCTTAAATGAAGCTGTAATTAGCTTGCATATAGCTTCAATTTGCTGCAAAATAAATCACCAAATAAATCAATAATTTACAACCAAGCAAACAGTGCAGGCTTTTCCAAAAGAATAAAAAACCCACAAGCAAGCCATTATGCCTGGACATTTCCAAATGCAGCACTACTCCTTGCCTACTTTCTCTGAGAGAGATGTGACAGTTTTCAGTACCAGACATTTTCATTCAAGCACGCAGGAATCGTGTAAAACCAAACAAATAATGACATGAAACAAAGCTTTGATTAGGAGCCTGTGAATAATGATCCTTTTCACATATTCAGTGTCTAGGGTGTTTAACATGTTTTACATGTAGAATATATCAAGCAAGTCCTGACGATGAGATTTTGGTATCAAGAGAAACACACTTTATTAGAGAGGGAGCGTGTCAGGGCTTGGTGCCAATCGGTTGCAAGTAGTTATGTTGCAAACACATCCAACACCCACATTTGGAGAAGTACAAGAGGGAACGTGTTTCTTATTTTCCTCTTTCCTGCTCCGTTTTCCTACAAATTCATAAGAGGCAAGTGTTACCTACACAAATAAAAAAAAATGGTGACAAGAAGTTTTCCATGGCATGAATAAATCACAGGTTTACATTGTTGAAAAATATTTTTGGGTTTGGATGCTTTTGTACAAATTATTGCTATGGAGACTGTATTAATTGACTGCATTTCTCATGTGG